GTGTGTGGTGGTGCTACTGAACCCTAAGAAGAACAAACAGCATCATATCATCAATAGCTCCCGGTGAGACATTCATACATTTGTAGCCAAGCACAACATGGATAAATGTTAATAAATGCACTAGTATATTAATACCAGCTATGTCAATTTAAAATGCCCATATAATGCTTATTTGTTGGCTTTGATGTATTGTGCACTATATTCTTTTCTGAATTTGATGAGTCAAAGAGCGTAAAAAAGTTTATTGTTTTTTTATTTTTAATATTTTAATTTTTTATGTTTTTTTTTTAATTGTTAAATTAATTGTCAGTAATTCCAGTTTTACATTCTTGACAAACCTACATTGATTAGCAATAGAAACGCACAAAATTATTGGCCCCCAAAAGTGTTCGTTTTTAGCTGAATAAAAAAAAAATGGGGGTAAATATGAGCAGAAAAAAAGGCTATGCTGTGCCACATTTTCAGCAGTGTTCAGCACAACTGGCTTTCATACCACATGCGGGCAGCGCTGTGCAACTAAATCCATTCATTTTGATGACTTGCAAGGGCTTGAGCAACAGAGCGAACTGTCGAAAATCCTACGCGTACACAAGGTTCTAGTATTCAGCTTAAACGGCCATGACCCCCCCCCTGTCTCAGCAGGGTTTTCACACCTAGGTAGAAAAAAGTCAGGAAAGTGGGTGAGTCCAGTTTTGTTTAGGTGGGAGTGTCGAGTGGCGAAAAAGAAAAGGATTTGCATGACAAGAGGAGTTTCAATTCGAGCATGTGCTGATTTTCACAGCGGCATCACAAACATACATGCGGGGGAGAAAGATAGTGATTACATTTACATGGACATCAGTTACCGAATTATTTGCCAAATAATTAATTTGTCGACTTTAACTGCAGTTTGGCACTTTTACTTTCATTCAGGAACATTTCATGCATGCCCCCCCTGACAAATGAGATATTGGATGCGAGGAACTGCTGGAAGAGTGTTGTTTTAATGGAATGTTTGATACCTTAAGCCGTATGGGAGAAAACCTCTGCATTTCTCGGTAACTAAGATGCACTCGGTAGGTGCAGAGAATAGCGTCAGAATAGCCATGTGTGTATAGACCAGGGGTGGCCAACCCTGTTCCTGGAGAGCCACCTTCCTGCAGATTTCAGTTGCAACCCATATCAAACACACCTGCCTGTAATTATCATGTGGTGTTCAGGTCCTAATTAATTGGTTCAGGTGTGTTTGATATGGGTAGCAACTGAAATCTGCAGGAAGTTGGCTCTCCAGGAACAGGGTTGGCCACCCCTGGCATAGACTATCCTTGACACAAAATTCGGCGAAAATCCTACACCACCGTAATAGTTGGATTAAGATGTTTACATTTAGAGAGCAGCATTTACAGCGGATTGTTCAGTTCATAATATTGTAGTGATATCAATGTACTGTAAACTTAGTAAGTAAATCATTTTGACTAAGGTATGTCTTTAAAAACTTCTTCCCCCAGAATGTCCACCAGTACCTGCGCAAAAAATATTGAAGGTCGAGGCCCTTCAAGCGACTCTGGTTGCTCACAATCCGAATATTATTCCGCCGGCTACGCAGTACAAGGTCCACAATTTTATCTTGTCATTTCGTGCAGGTCTCAGTCAGAGTGGTACAGACTGATTCTAAAGCCCAGACCCGCTCGCTGAGTGCGTTGGCGTTTGATTTCAAGGATGCAATCTTTTGTGCGTGATTTGGCAGCGTAGAATGAAAGCAGTCCATCCTCTCCTTAAGAGTTGAAATAAAGGATTTAAACTCCGCCGATAGGGTCTGTCGATGTTGATCTTAAAGTTTGACCATCGCCACCATTTTCAGCTCGTTCACAGCGTCTTCTGGGGTCAGTTTTTGCTTTTTCTTGCCTTGTTTAAGCGATTTAGAGGTCATGTTTAATCTAAATGAAAGTTTTACATAAAAGTGTTTCGATTGTTAGTTCACAAATTAAGTAAATGGGCTTTATGCAAGTTTAAATCGAAAATGTACAAGAGACAAACACGTCTACTCCATTAGTCCACTAAACCGGAAGTCAACAGATGCGATTTAAACACTTTTATGCTTAACCATTGGTAGACTACTTTGAAAACAGTAATTAATTCAACCAAACAGATTGTCGTGTTCCCAACTCATACCAAAGTTTGATCTAATGCTGCAGTGTCAGAACGCTCAAACATTTAATCATCATATAGGAAGTCCGAGAGGAAGTATCTCAACTAACACAGTCTTAAATATTTCCTTCCACTCTCTCACTTTACAGGAAGACCATCACTACGGTTTCCTTCTCTCCAGATGGCAAATATGTGGTCACAGGCGAGGTGGGTGCTCAATTCCTCAACATATCTGTGTTTGGTGGTTAAATCAGACGATCTAGAAGGAAGTCAGGAGCTCTGGAGCTATATTTCATACTTAGATAAGACCATACGACTGGGCTGTATGAAAATAAAGTTCTCTATCTTCTCTATAGTCCCTGTGGGAAGTGAC